GTATCTCTTGGTTTTCAATTTTCACTTTTCCTCATTATTAGAAATCAAAGATAATAAATTATCTCAAAAGCATTAATTTCTTAGCCAATTCAACTGTAAAAATTTTCATTGTTCTATTGTTTATTGTCAAATGCTCTCTTTTTTATTTTTATTTTTGTTTTGCATAGTCTGTTCTTATACTTATTTTTGTTACCTTGCTGGCTCAGCCACTTACATATTTCGTGCCCTATTCTTTCTTTTAATTTGTTATCTATTTTCCTAAGATTGCACTGAAACTGTAAGATTTCTTTGCGGGGTAAAAGGACAAAACAAGCAGACCCAAACACACGAAGGAGGAAGTAATTAGGAAGTTGAGAAAATAGAGCCTCATAAGGAGACCGACCAGAGAGAAGGAGGGTAGGCGTACAGTTGAGAAGAAAAATAGCAATAAGAACTGTTTCACTCCAAAATGAGAGACAGAGAGAAGGAGAGACCTAACTATCTCAATGAAATAATGGTGTTTACGCTCAGTCTGACCATTTTGGACAGGTGTATCAATACAAGAAATTTGGTGAATGATACCCAAATTGGCCAAATATTCACAGAACTCAGTTTTAAAATATTATCCACCCAAGTCAAATTGTAACAATTTAATACTAGACCCAAACTGTGTAGTGACCATAGATTGAAAAGTACAGTATATGTGGTAGAAGTCAGACTTATGAGTCATAAGGTAAATCTAAGTGTAATGGGTGCAGTCATCAATAAATGAAACATAGTATGCAGAACCCCCTTTAGTGAGAATAGGAGAAAGACCCCAGACATCAGTATGAACTAAAGAAAACGGTGTATTAGATATAGAAGTACTTTTACAGAAAGGTAAGACTGTCATTTTGACAAGTTTACATCCTTGATACTCGGTAAGTTGAGTAAGAGAAACTTTTAGGGTTGAGCAAGGAATTCGTAAAATCTATAATCCAATCCGATCTAGTCCAATCCGGTAGGTTTGGATTGGTTTTTTAAATCCGTGGTTTGATTCCGGATTGAAAAATTAAAAATCCGTAGTCCACGGATCGGTTCCCAATTGAATCACACGGTTCCGGATTGGAACTGATCCGGACCGTATACAAATAGCCTATATTTATATTATACACCCTTCCACATAGTATCTTCTCTTATTCCATATAAAACCTAAACCCACATAGTATCTTATTTTATTACTTTTGTTTGTTGGTTTTTAGTTTTAATTTGTAATGGTCTAAATACTTATGGTAGAACTAGTTTTCTTATGGTTGTTTAAATTCTAGAACAATATATTGTTATTGTGGAAAGACATGTTACTATTGTGAAACTAATATGATGCTATGTGGAACTAATAGTAAGGTGGTGATGGCCAGATTGGTGAGGTAAACATCATATCTAGGTTAAGAAGAGGATCGGGGGGAAGGGAGAGGAGGGGAAGATTGGAGAGGTAGGGGAACCACCGTCGTCTCCCTCTCTCCTTGCAAAAAATTGTAAAGAGAAAAGCAAGAGGGATTTAGGGTTTAGGGAGAGGCACATAGTACCATATGAATTTAGAATATTCATTTACAAAAACTACATAAAATTGAAAACTTTCAAGGGGGAATTACTTCTCAATGATACAAAAAATAAAATTTTACATAAATATGGGGGATGCAAGAGAGACTTGCACTCCCAGCTGTAATTCCCCCAACTTTCAATAGTTGGAATGGGGAAGGACTTATACAAAAAAAATAATAATAATAAAAAATTTAATCAGGTATTCAAAATTGTTAGGATTGGTCCACCCATGTGATAAAGGTGGGTCTCATATAGTTATTAGGTTGGTTTATATATATATTTGGGTTAAGATAGGCGAATCTGAAATCTACAAGGAAACCCAATATGTGTAAGATTTGGTTACCTAATTGTATAGAACTAGAATTCTTATGGGTAGACTATTATAAATAGTCATGTGGACTATAGGGTTTCTCTGAGAGAGATTGAGAGGTTAAGGTGTGGAAAAAAATAGAGATGTAAGGGTGAGAGGAAAAATACCGTGAGAACACCGTGTGAGCAAGGGCTCAACTACCCTTGAGCATGGGGTTCGGGTAATGGTGTTGGTTTTTAGTGTTTTGGTCATTTCACATGCATTCTCTATTTTATTCATAGTGAAAAATCTCTCTCCCGTGGATATAGGCAATTTGGGTCGTACCACATAAATCTATGTATGGTTGTTTTTCTCTTTGGTGTGTGCGTAAGTGTGCTTTCGTTCTCGTTGGTGAGATGTGATATAAATCTCAGCTAGTGGTGTTGATCCTGGGTGCGGTTACTGTGACGCCCCAAATTTCTAGCCCAAATGATAATACAACAATCATGGCTCTTTCAAGGAAAACCGAATATAAATCTTCAAACTTACATTACATGGTTACAATAGTTCTTCATGCAACAATACATTAATCCAACAAGAAGTAAATAAACAAATAAATACCCCCAAGGGGTTTACAAGTTTCCAAGGCTTGAGCCTAGTTATACAAAACGGTTATTCAAACCCACACAAGCACAACCCTTAGCTTACACACAGAATCACAACAAAATGAGAGCATTGTACTCCCAACACACATACTTCCACGGCCCTAGTTGGGTGGGATCACCACATTTTTTCCTGCACAAAAATCCCGTAGGGTGTCCATAAAGCTCAGTAGAAAATTCTTAACAAAGTATATACATTTTATACAAGTCTCAAGAGATGAAATGCACATGCCATGCTATGCCCTTCTTGAAGATAAATCACATTTTCATCTTTTGAAAACCATTATGCTCAATGATATCATGCAATTTCAATTGTTCAAAACTTAACAATTTATTTCAAGGCGGTAAATATGACTCTAGTAATCCCTACGTCGATGTCTGCAAGTAGATTATACAAGTACTATCAATTTGTCATTTTTACCAGCATTAACTGGAAGACTCAACACCTGTAATCTATCATTTTTACCAGTATTAACTGGAAGGCTCGACACCTATTCAATTTCATCTACACCACCTTTCAAGACTTATCACCGTATTTACCCTAAAACCAATTCATGGAAACTTGTTTCTCAATGCAAGTTTTCAAATCAACTTTCAAGGTTTAATGTAAGCAAATGAATTGACATGCCAATAACACAAGATGAATGTAAATACTTTTATTCCAATTCATTATCCAAGGAATAACACAATTCCCTCTTCTCAAGTATCCTCAACAATTAGTCATTTCAAGACTATTTCAACGTTTTGAATAATAATTTCCAAAATGAACAATAATTCTCATATTCCCTGAAATTCATCATTTATATAAATATAAATAAGAAATTTTCTAAACATCCATTTATTTTGACACACAAAATAAATATAACAATATCATTCGTGAATTTTCAGTCTCTTTAAAAAAATTCCCAAATTCTACGTTTTCTCACCAAAACTATACAACTCAAATCTTTTGAAAGAAAACTTTCCAAAATCTTTTTTTTTTTTTTCAATCAACGAAAATCAAAACCCATAAGATCATTTTAAAAGAGCAAGAGACAAACCACTTTCAAAATCGCTCAACTTCTTGAATTAACAATCAATTTTCAAAGCTATTGAAGAATGATTTCGAAAATCATCTAGATCTTGCAAAAATATATATATAACTCTAAGAAAATCCCTACCTCTAGTTTTGATGAAGAAATGAGATGAAACCCCCAAAATCAACGATGTCCAAAATCGATCTTCACCGCACACAACGAAGCCCTCGAGGAGCTAACTAACTTTGATGAAGAACGTAGGTCCAAATCCCAAAGGATTTGAAGAAATCAAAGATCTTGTGAGGTTTTTGGTAGGAAATGTAGAGAGAAGGGAGAGGAAATGTTTTTAGAGAGAGATATATACAAAAGTGATTCAACTTCAGCCCAAAGACAGAAGAAAAGGGAAAAAAAATTTCGGATCTCACCAACCCACCGCACCTCACTCCCACACCTGCCTTTTTAGCAGTGTGCAAGCTGCTCTCCCCTGAAATCCGCACATGCGGCTTGCTCTCCCCCTCAAGCGGACAAGCAACTTCGAATGCATTTTGCATTTTTGTTTTGGGGGTGCTACCCCTCAACCCCACCAGGGCGCTGCCCTAGGACCCACCAAGGGGCGCTGCCCTTGGACCCACCAAAGGGCGCTGCCCCCTGGACCCCCGCGAGTTGACCGGGCAGCTCAACCTCCGACATACTCAGCGAAGTGGCAAAACTGGGATCACTGCAGTTACTACAGACGGAGGTCTTGCACAAAAGAGAAAGAACTTCTAGTGGTACAGGAAATAAATAAATAAATCAAAATCTAGTGAAGGCAACACAGTGAAGGCAGTGCACAGTAGAGTACACAATTAAGGGTTTGGTTTTGTGTGTTTGTCTTGTCAAAGGGCTATGAGCTTGTGTGACAAAAATCATAAAATCAACGGTTTAGAATATTTCTGTTATATCGATGTATATATAACAGATAAATTCACGGTGAAAGTGGATATCAAGGTTTTCAGGGGATGCAGTTTCATCGGTTTGGTCATAATTTTCAGATTCTGAACAGGTTTAAAGGGATTGGACAAATTCACGGGTGATCAAAGGGGATTGTGTGTGATCTAGATGATCCAAGAGTAATCTGATTCAATAAACAAGGAGTCCAGCAGTCCAGCCATTGCAGGACCAATCAAACAGTGTTTTTTTTTTATTGGACATCATGATTGGCAACTTGTACAAGTTCGTGGAGTATGTTGTGACAAGAGGGAAGCTGTTGTCAAACATCAAACAAATAGTACGAGCCATGGGTGAACAGTGTGAGTAACAGTTGTAAAGATATTTGGTGGCCACCAAAAGGAAGACAACAGGTTGTTAGATGTTCATAGAAGGAAGCTTCGGGCATAGAATCTAAGACGGTTTCGCGACAAGATGGTGTACATCAAGGGAGGATGCTTTTTCTATGAAGGTTTTGGTTTGGGATAGTGGAGACACCTTAGCGGATCTCATCGGCTCGAGTATGAGGACAAGGGAAGCCATTATTTCTTGCTTTTGTGTTCCTCACAAGTATGACGATAAACATCTCCTTTTCTCTTTCTTTTCTTTTCTTTTTTGATTTTTCCTTTTTCCTTTAATGAAATTTTATCCAAATCTGCTTATTTTGAGTTCTAACCTTTGAAATACCTTGGGATGAGTAGGTGAGTATTGCCGACATAGGCTATGATGAGGTATATGATGCCACTGGTGAAGTCCCATGCAGGGGGTTGTCTGAAGAATCATTGAAAAAATTATCATGCCATATTATCTTCGATGAAGTGGCAGCAGCACAAAGCATCTGCTGCACAATATGTTTGCAGGTCCTAATTTGCTTGCAACTGATTTAGTTTATTGTCTGTCATATATGGATTTACAAAATGTATATCATTTTATTTTGAAATTAACAATTTTGTGTTATTGCCTTTTGGCAGGATATTGAAGGTGGGGAGATTGCAAGGAGCTTGCCCCGATGCCAGCACACATTCCAATTGAGTTGTGTGGACAAGTGGCTCATCCGACATGGCTTATGCCCTGTATGCAGACAAGACGTGTAAATTGCGTGTAGGCTATAGTTGTACAGAAAGGGAAGAAAAAAAAAAGGACCGTTGAGATTAAGACCATTTGCCCTTGTATATATAATTTATATGTATTTTGTTGTAGTATTTAGTGTTTCCAAAGCAAATTATCATGGTGGAGGTCTATGCCTTGAAAGGCAATCATCAATAAGAACAAATTTATCCACCAACAGGGCATGACAGCTTCTGAGCACCCTTTGTGTGAGGCAATTGGGGAACTTTGTTGTATCATAATGTATTATAAAATAATCTTTTGAAATATATGTTTTCTTGCACAGTACCAATATGTAGCTTATGATTTGAATAATGGGAATGGATGCTGATATTTAGTTTTGGCTTGTTTTATGTTGTTTTTCCATTATGTTTGGAGTCCTGGGTTGGAACTTGTGCATTTCAAGGTATGTTAAATGAAAAAAATAAAACTAAAAAATGAAGTTTTAACAGGTTGAGTAGTTCAAAAGAGTGTGAACAGGAATTAATTGATTTTTGGATTGTGAATGCTTGTTTTATTCTACCTATTTATGGCAGTGAGTAGTATACTCTCTTTGTTTTCTTCTTATGAGTGAGATAATTCAAGCAATGACAAAATATTGCTACTTTCTAAAAATATTTTTACTTTGGGATTTGATTATCAAAAGTTAAAAATCAAAAAGAAGCAAAAAAATGTAAAATAATTAATTGGAAAAATTAAAAAAAAAAGAGAACTCTAGGATTTGACTTTTATAACAAAAATAAATCTTTAGTTTTTAATTTTATTAATTTAAATCATAATATTTTGATTTGTTTTTAATCTAAACTATTTATCTATTTTCATTATGTAAAACTGTCAGAAATATGATATTTTAGATGTTTGGGGATAGGTTTTTTTAGCCTAAAAATTAATAAGTCATTACAAGTTATCACATAACTCTTTATACTTTTCTGCAAGTCAAATTAAAATACTCAATTCCCAAACCTAGCCGAAATGTTCAGAGAAGCGAAATCAAAGTGAAAGGAAGTGAAAAATGTATGACCATGTCCAAATAATACCAAATCTTATAATAAAATAAATAAATAAAGAAAAGAATAAAGTCCAAGTAATACCAAATCTTAATAATAATAATAATAATAAACACTAAAACAAGGGTCAGATATCATCTATATGCTGATTTTTAACATGTCAACAAGAGGCTCGAGGGAAGTTATCCCGATACCATTGTTTTAACAATAAGCAATGACAGTGTTGATTATTTACGGAGAGAACATCAAAGTAAAATAAAATTTAAGGGAAAAAAAGAGCAATTTAGTATGCACACTGGAAAATGATTTATTAAACTGGACACTGACGATAATAATATTGTTACAGGGCTTAGTGCCGAAGATAAGTCAAAACATTGAATTCCTATACAAGCTATGCTACATAAATCAAGAATCACAACAGCACTCAGAATTCAATGTTTCTTATTGATTTCATCTATGACAGCAGACAAACCGTGTATCTGACAACAACAGGAAGCCAACAATTTGCCGCTATGTCTGGTTGCACCTCTTTATCTGTGAATACAAAGATAATCATGCTGAGATATTAAAAAAAAAAATTAAAAATTAAAAAAGAAAAAAAAGAAAAGAAAAAGCAGCTCAAATGTGCTTCAATTCGTCAGATTGCAGAAAACTATCAACTGCAAAAGTAAAACAATATTTCTAATGAGTCTAATTTTCTACTTTCACTGATTTATCACTGAGCAATTTTCAGGAGTTTCTATTTACACATCATCATTCATCTAAGTACACACCATTCCCTGAATCTACATCACACCAGGGTGATGAGTGGTGGGTGGTGACAGGAGAATGTGGGAGGAGAATAGTTTTTTTTTTTCTTCTAAACAAGTGAAACTAACTTTTTTGTGGTTACAAGAATGTAGTAAATTTTGAAAACTGTTTTCAAGTTTTTATAAACAAAAATTGACAACAAACGAGTTTTTGTTTACAATTTTCAATTTTTTTTGTTTTGTTTGTGAATATAAATTATAAATATACATGTTACCAAACAGGTGCTTAATAATTTTATTTTTCTTGAATCAATTGGAGGGATTCCATGCTGTATAATCTATCCATTCATATTAAGGATTTTGCTTTTATTATTATTTTTTTAGAAAGCGACTCTAATTAAATTTTTCCTCGTCATTTTCTTGCAATTGCCTTCAAATTTTGACAATGATTTTCGGTTTCAATTACACACTGAAGGGAAAAATAAATAAATACTGTAATTTGTAGAAAGTGAGAAATACCATACATGAGAATGAAGGGTAAATGAACCGCATATTGAGTTGAATAAGAGCTTTTGGTTTTCAAATTTCATACTGTGACAGCTTCGGGTCTTTTACTGGTTTTTATTCCTTTTATAGCTGTAACAAATTCATTCAGTGCATAAAAAAGTTAAAATACATTTATGTCATAAAGAATTAAATTTATCTTTTGTAGGACTTATCATAGAAGTTGTATGAGTCCATGCCTTCGGCATAATCTTTAGCTCCAAGGACAGCAGAAGCAGCAACCAAAGCATTTGCTCCAGCCTCAATCACCTGCCAAAGTGCCAACGTCATAAGTATTCAAAATGGCTATATAGATCACATCATCAATTTGTCACTTGTACAGATAAATGATGAAAGAGATTTTGGAATTTTTTTTTACACATTTTCGTAAGAGGATTTGTTCTATTCCAATAAGCCATAATGAGATTTATTTTATTTTATTTTATCGTAGTGTGGTTTAAATTTTTGAGTCTCAGAGCACATCTTTTCTCAATACACACAACTATAAATTCAAATATTTTGCATTTGCTCAATACACATATTTATCTGAAAAATACCATCCTCGATCTTAGAAATCCTAACCCTAACCTTAAGTACCTCCGGTCAATCAGCACTGCCACCACCGACCTCGTCCCCCAACCACCCTAACCACTCCCCCACCCTTGCTTGCCACTCTCACCCCCTCAACCACCTTTCCCCAAAAACCCTAGCCCCTTCCCACTGTCCACGACCACCCTAGACCCACTTTCCCCCAACTACTCTAGCCTCTCCCCTACTGTCCACAACCACCCCAGCCCCTTCTCCATTATGCTTGCACAGAGCACGCTTGCCCGCACGCACGTGAGAGGGAGAGAGAGAGAGAGAGAGAGGGGCTAGATCGTGTGTGCGAGAGAGTGATCTACGAGGAGGGTTTCGTGGGGGTGGCAGTGCTGGTGGTTGGTGGTGTAGTACGAAATTGTATTTTAGGGTTTTGTCTAAAAGGGTAATTTGAGTAAGGGGTAAAATCATAATTAAAAAATGCACTAAGTGCGTCAACTGAGCATTTTTGGTGTGTGGAAATAGAAGCTGCCACATACTATTGGAGCATCAAGGGTTCAAGAACAGCACTGAGGTGGACAGGAAGTTAATACTTGCTCGACTTGCTCACAGATATTCTTAGGCAACACAAAAAATCCACCCAGAAGATAACACTACTTAAGGCCATATCTCCGCATTAGAAAAGGGACAATATGATTTTGAATGACGGACCTTATATGCATTTTTTGGACCAACTCCACCATCTACTTTGATCCATGGATTCACCCCCTGCAAAACAAAAAGTAAAAAAAAATGTTATTGTTTCCTTTCCTGGTAAAGTACTGCACTTGGAAATGAGAATGCAATACCTTCTCTGCACACATTCTTCCTAAATCTGAGATTTTCCTAACTTGGCTCTCAATAAAGCTCTGCCCACCAAAAATCTGGGGTTCACCGACATAATCAAGACCAGATCAACCACTGTTAACAAGCAAAGAAGATCATTTCGACAATTCCATTCCATGTGACCATATTAACCTAAATGATAACATGAAGACTTTTCTAATACTAATATCTTCTCCATGGAGCTTTTAATAGGAAAATGTATGGCAGTTTGGAAAATATCAAATTTAGTATGCACAAAAGGTAAGTAATCTTGCTAAATTAATTTACTAATATGCTGTCTCTCAGTCTATATAACAATAAAGTTCTTGTCTTGATAACCAAAGTTGCCATGATCACCTTTTCATTTTGTTTTGGTCATGTGTATCTGAAAAGAAAAAAAACTATCAAGTGAAAAGGATACTCAGCAGAGAAAATCCTTCTCAGAGAGTAGTCCTTCAAAAACTTCACTACAAGGACTACCTTCGTAAAGAAACAGATCTTATCATCATGGACATATTCTATTGTAGTTAGTGGTGTGGCAGGATTTAGGACAACTCCAGCTTTGGCTCCCAAACTTTTAATCTGAGTTACAGAAAAATAGAGTTGTCAAAAGAGATAACTAGTGCAATGAAATAGAAAAAACAAACTTCAATTAGGATTAAATGTAAAACAAATATATCAACACACGAACAGAAAAGGAGGCTCTCTTAGACGTTCGAAGTACAGATAACTCATCATTTTTTTTTTCTTTTTCCTGTTTTTTATTTTTTTTAACTTTTAGGATTACATTAAGTTAGACCTAAATCTGATGAATGTTAATGAGATAAATCTATACTAAAACAGGATATGCATTCTCAAGTTCAGAGAAGCCATACTTGATTCACTGTATGATGCAAATGGATGGTGGAAGATTGCTCACAATGGACGCTAACTATGTCTGCTCCTGCCTTCACAAAATCAGGCACTCTCTGGTCGGGTTCAACAATCATCTGCAATGCATTTGTTCACATTAGCAATGCCATTCCCAATCAAAGAAGACTTGACAACAAATTACCTAGGACATAAAAATTGAAGAATTACCAAATGTACATCCAATGTTACGGGGCGCAACGCATCAACCACAAGAAGTCCAATTGTTATATTTGGAACAATACGACCATCCATTACATCAACATGAATCCAGTCACAACCTGCCAGCTCCACTGCTTTTACCTACATATATATGAGAGTCAAATTCCAGCACCCATGGAGAATCAACCTACATCTCAAATTATTAATGCATGAGGAAACATAAATAAAGAAATTAAAAAATGATCCCAAAAACATGATTGA